CTTTTTTAGTTTATTTTGAGGCTTATTCAAATGCTTTTCTTGCCTCATGGATATCAGGCCCATATCAATGGATTTGCCCATTACATCCGGTTCTATTATAGTACTCCTTCATCCACTTGTGGTTCTTAACATATCTGAACATTGGACAAGGACAAAGGTTGCTTTGAATTCGACAGAAGTCAGTGTTTACGGCGTCCTTTTAGGGAAACAACAAGGCCATCATGTAGAAGTAAGTTTTACCTTAACATACAGTGTAGATATTCAATTCCTTTGAGCTTCTTATTAATGAAAATAATATGACAGTAGACAATGAGTTCTTTGTGACTAGGGAATCTCAAAGTAAACAGGTTTATCCAGACCTTGACCTGATCGGTTGGTACACGACTGGTGGGAAAATTACTGAGCAAGACGAGCTATTTAACCAACAAGTTAGTTTATTTATTTCGTTTTCACGGTCTTTTAGATGCAAGAGTTAAATGAGTCTCTCCTAGTTTTGAAATTGGACCCTCTCCAGAGGGGAGGGGAGCAACTACCAGTAAGAATTTATGAATCAGTGGTAGATAATGACGGGAAAATTCATTTTAGGCAAGTAAGTCGCCTAATTATCGCATGATTTTAGGTGCCCTACACCTTAGCTACGGATGAAGCTGAGAGAATTGGCGTTGATCACGTTGCTCGAGTGTCGGTGTCCAACACAGGAATGAGCTCTTCCATGGTAATTTGATGTGCTTGCTTCTCATAATCTCGATTTAAAACTGGCCAGTCTTTTATGCAGTAGAATTTATTCATTACTTAATGGCGCTTGGTAGATATTAAGGCCTCTGTTACGTCAATCTTATTTGTTGCGGAATCCTCGCTTTCTAAAACATGGATATTAATTTCAATTCCTTAATGAATTTACTTAGCTCAAGCTGCCTTTATGCTCAGTTTTACATGCTTGGGGTTGTGTGTACATCTAGAAATGACTGAAGCTCCATTGCTTCGTCAGAGATCATATACGGTCACTGATATTCAAAGCAATATATTTA